AATTTGAATGAAACTTTACACACATGCAGGTGGAATAAATAGATGAATTTAGAAATTTTCAGTTGCGGCCCAAAAACAATTCTAAAGGATGAAATCACCTCTCATATGTAGAGTGGCTTTTTATTTTTTTCGATATATCTCGAAAATTATTCGAGATATCAAAAAATGTTTTATACAATAGTTTCATGGTAAAAATATCTTTATTTAACTATAATAATAAAATTTAAAAAAAATAATTCACAAAGATATATGAAAAAAATTATTTTTTTAAATTTCTAAATTCATTTATCCTCTCTACATGTGCGTAAAGTTTCATGAAAATCAGAATTTTCAGATTTGTGAGATTCCCTCGTAAATGAATCTGAGCTATCGGGATGTGATATATTGACCTCACCTTGAAAAGACCACTTAAGGTCAAATCCATATTTTTATCATGTGGCCCCCTCGAAACCATGCAACTTTTGTCTGAAACATTTTTTGATATCTCACTTCGTTTCCGAAAAATATGCCCGCGTCACTATAAATGCCGCATCCTGTATTATTGCGGTAAATATTGACAACAGTGGACCCAGCTCCAAAGACCTTGACCTTGACATATATTATAGAGGTTATTCTCTTGAGTAACCTTCAGAAGGTTTTAAACATCGCTCGTTGTTTACTAAAAAGTTATTAACAAATAAAGTTGACAATATAAAAGTGTGAATTTAACTCTATAATTTGAATTTGATAATTATGCAGATATAGGGAGCCATTCCCGATTTCGATAATTTTGAAATATGTTATCAAGATCATTACCTTGAGTAATGCGGCGCTCGTTGTTTATTGAAAAGTTATTAACAAAAAAATCTCCACGAATTATAATTTTCAGATGCTATGTAAATTTTAGGAAATGTATTTTTAGCAGATTCATTTATTTATGTGTAGTAAATCGAATGCGTGGGCGGGGGAGGGGTTCCGCTCCTCCCCCTGTATCCCCACTCCGAAGAAAACTAATTGTAAGCTAATCCAACCCATTTCTTAGAGGTGAAACATTATTCGGGGTGAATAGTTCTTCTACAGGACAATAATATGTCAACAACTTACAAATATCGGTAGGGGAGTGGTGGAGCTTCTACTACATATGCCGAAGAGTGAATTATTACTTAAAATAAAGATTCACCCCTTGGACATGGGTTGGCTTAGATTAGTTTTTTTTGGGTGAGGGTGCAGGAGGAGGTGCTCCGCCCCTTTCCCGCCCACGCGTTCAGTTTATTACATAAATAAATGATTCTGCTAAGGTATTAAATGTACATGATATCAAAAAAATTACGTTTTATTTAGTAAACTTTTTTTGTTGATAACTTTTTAATGAACAACAAGCGAAGGCTAAAACTTTTTGAGAATTATTCAGGAGAGTAACCTTTATAATATATGTTAAAATCAAGGTCACTGGGGCTGGGTCCGATTTTGTCAATATTTACCATCGTTGATTTGTTTCGTATTATTGATGTTCAATCGGCATTATATAGCCAACGACTTTTCTATATAGTCTAATAAACCCCAGTTTGTGTACCTATATAAAAACCGATTTCAGTCAACTAAAATCTTTTCTCTTTAGAAATAAATAAGAAATCAATCAATCCCAGAATCCTGATTCTCAAGAAAATTTATTTGGTCTTGGTTTGCGACGCAATTCGTTAAGGTTATTGGATTATGCTCATTAAGTCGTAAAACGATACATAACGGATACCGCTCGATGCATCTACCTACTAATTTTTTTTGGAAAGAATTCAAGACAATATGTGTGTAAGAAATATGAGTACAACTCAGAACTTACATATTTTTCTATCTGGAATATCATAAGTAAACTTAGATAATATTATATGTGTATATAATGTTACGTCCGCGGGACGATTTCGATATATCGCCCCTTCGTGAATTTACACTATCTCTCGCTCTCACCGTGCTCACAAATAATAACACTCTTTTAAAGAACACTGAAACTTTAATTGAACAAGAACACAGAACAAGCAATTTGGAACAATAATTGTAACAAAATATAAGAAAACGTATCCATGGCGTGTCACCGGTCGTGAGAGGCGCACGATCCCGACTCTCAAGATGTCCGCCTTTCTTGTTTATCAACAAACCATGACGACGAACTTGGAGATGATTTTCCACTTATACTCGCTTCACATCGATACTTCCACACAGATCAGGTACATTAGATCATATACAACTTGCAAGTACTTAATAAAAAAATACTTTATTATAGTGTTTTGGAAAGCTATCGACATAAGCTATAAGAATATGCTATAAAAAATAGGGAATTCCATGTAAGAAATTAAAGATGTCCTTGACTTGACCTTAACGATGCCATCCAAGGTCAAACCAATGACACCATCTTATGTTCCCCTCAAAACCATACAATTTTTGTTCAAAACATTTTTCTCTAAAATGCTTAGTTTTTGAAAGAAAACTGGTGTACGTATGGTCTAGGACACCCTGTATATATACTTGGTGTATCAGACCACCCGTGCCAGCCGAATATTTCGAAAACCGAGAACGGTAGACAAAAATATTTCAGACAAAAGTTGTAGGGTTTCAAGTAGTGCATTACATAGTAATATTAGTACGACTAAAAAACGCGTAAAAAACTATAATTTTTATGGGTTTTTCATGGTTTTCACCATGAAAATCAAATAGTCGCCAATTTTCACTATAATATTCGTAATCAGCGCATCAAAATACGTAAGAATACTGAGTTTCAAAAAAATCGAGGGTGAGTACTTTTCGGAACTTTATCCAAAATATGTAATAAAAAATAGGGGGTTTCATTTAAGAAATTTATGATGACCTTCACGTGACAACGCTATTCAAGATCGTACTAATATTACTATATAATGCGTTACTTGAAACCCTACAACTTTTGTCTGAAATATTTTTGTCTGCCGTTCTCGGTTTTCGAGATATTCGGCTGGCACGGGTGGTCTGATACACCCTGTATACAGGGTGAGGCATCAGACAGGCCACCCGAATAACTCCCACAGTTTTGGAGATAGGAGAAAATGTTTGAAATAAAAGTTGTATGGTATCGAGGAGGAAATCTTGTGGAAGTGAACATTTTTTTTAGGTGGAGGCGCTTAGGAGATTTGAAGATCATCTTCATTTCTTTAAATGGAACCACCCTAATTTTTTTATACAAGTCGATTTCTCAAAATGTTCACTTCCACAAGATTTCCCCCTCGATACCATACAACTTATATTTCGAACATTTTCTCCTATCTCCAAAACTGTGGGAGTTATTCGGGTGGCCTGTCTTAGATGCCTCACACTGTATATATAGGGTGTCCCACCCAAAGTGGCAACTCCGTTTTATTTTTTAAACTCTAAAAGAGATAGACCATAAAAAATATATATCAAATTAAATGGTTTAAACTGAACTCTATTATGAGCATAATGGTTGCTTTCAAAAGCTATCTGTGTTAACGAACGGAAAGGTATGCATAATTTTTTTATAATAATGTGAATATTTTGATATGATAAAAGTTATAGCATTGTTTGAAACGAATACAATGATGTATAATATAATGTAAATATTTTACATATTATACAAGTTTTATTGACTTGAAATATCGCGAGCGATGTCTATCTTTTCACTTTCTGCCTTGCGTTATGGCCAATTTCTGACTCGTGCATTAGAGATTGACATATGTCGTGTTGTCATTTGATCATAATATTCAATCCGAAGTTGGCCATATCGCAGGACCGAAAATTAAAAGGTAGACGTCGCCCGCGATATTTCAAGTTGATAAAACACGTATAATATATAGATACAAATAGCTTTTGAAAGCAACTATTATGCTCACAATAGAATTCAGTTCAAACCATTTAATTTGATATATATCTGTTATGGTCTATCTCTTTTAGGGTAAATATAGCGAAAAGGGGACCCAGCCCCAATGACCTTGACCTTGATATATGTTGTCAAGGACACTGCCTACCGGCGGGGTGGATGCGGGAGGGGGGCCGAAAGCCCCCCTTGCACCCCTCGTGTGTGTGTGTGTGCGCGCGCGAGCTTTCTGTCCGTGTACTTCGGTATATTTCAAACTTTTTTGTTAATAACTTTTTAATAAGCAACGAGCGACGATTAAATTAGAAGAAATAAAAATCACACACAACACACGCACACCAGACAGTCCTCCCCACGTACCAGAACCAACCCCTTCTCCCCTTCTCCCGAACCTGGCCCGTCAGGATCCCCAGCACCCTCAACTATCATCCTTAGTGATTCCCCCCTCTCGTTCCCTGTCCATCCAGAATCCTTCCATCCGGACGAACCCGGAAGGTCTTTTGAACAACCACCCGACAGCGAAATTGAGGGTGGACCCCGAGAACGGGATTTTGCCAATTTCGCATCGTCTAGCGTGTGTCTAAGAGAAAACTAGGTTACGCCCTCCAGCTGAGTTTCCTTTCATTCGAGTCTGGACATAACACTATATTTACGCAACTTTTAATAAGGAACTCATGTCCGGAAACGCACCGAGCTGCAGACTGGAACTGTTGGTATGTTCAGTATTAGGAATAATTCTCATAATAACTTTATTTGCTTACATTACACTACAAAAATGTTTAGCGATGTCAAAACAGACAATGTCAAAAGACACTTTGAAAGAGTGCACCAGAACATGCTTCGCAGGTGCAATGCTTGCATTGAAGTTGGTGGTCGTCATTATGAACAATTATTGTAGCCATCTGTTTTGACATTGCTAAACATTTTTGTAGTGTAATGTAAGCAAATAAAGTTATTATGAGAATTATTCCTAATACTGAACATACCAACAGTTCCAGTCTGCAGCTCGCAAACGGTGCGTTTCCGGACATGAGTTCCTTATTAAAAGTTAGTCTACTTTGAACCCTTTACATCCCCTAGAAGTTTGTAACAGGTATTCATTTACACCCTGTATATGATCGTAAAACTTCTCTCCTTGTGTAAATAGAAAATTACATATGATATTTACCTGTCTGTGTCGCAACCATCCAGAAATGGTTTCAAACACGGTTCATTCTGATCATGTTCCAGACCATATAATTCGGAGAGTGAAAGTCGGCTATCGCTGTCACTGTCCAAATGTCCAAACATCCATCTAACCTCGCTCTGACAACCGATAGGGAAGTGACCTAAAATCGTTTGATATATTTTCTTATTAAGATATTATTAGATAGCTATAATTAGAAATAATGTAAAAATAACATATGTATACATATGCATCATGCATCCCATACAGAAAATAATGTGTATTAGATATCTACTGAATATTCTCGATGAATATTAGGGATATCCGTGAATATATAGGAAACAGCTATTAGACATGCTTTAAATATTCAAATGTCCGCAATACGAAATATCATAAATATCCACAGGATATGTAAGCCACTGGACATCTACATCAGTATACAGTGGATATTTATGTAAATATCCATTATATGTTGGTTAAATTTTGGTCACAAAATGACGAATTGTCCAATGTCACATTCACGGAACGTCATTTTCTGATGTTTGTTTGACGGCTAAACTAAAACCAATTATAGTAATAATATATAATAACACATATTAATGTAATATATATTATAGGTAAATTTAAATTATTTAGTTTATAAAATTAAAGATTTTATTTATATGGATGTTAATTTCTATTTTATATCTTAAGTAGATAATAACGAACGATTTTCACTTTTCGGACAGAAATTGCCCGAATAAATGAAACACTCATGACAAAAACTTGAATACGGATATAGATAGTGAATAGCCCGCCGCATAGCGGTAAGCGAATGGATATAATCCCAATACAAGTTACAAAAGGACTTTATTTGGACGACCATAGGACATCTCTAAAATAACGTTTCTGGCTGGTCTAAGAAATGACATCTTTTAAATGTCAATTATTAGTCGCCGACGTCATAAACCAAAAATATACGTCATTATGTCATCTATTGACGTCACTCTGCTATTTGGATATATGAATAACACGTAGATTTCTAATGAATATTTTTGGTAGCTTCTTGATAGACATGGATATGTGGATAACAATAAATATCTAATGAATATCTTTGGTAGCTACTCGATAGACATGGATAACACGTGTATATCTAGTGGATATCTTTGGTAACTACTTGATGGACATGAATATATGGATAACATGTGTATATCTAGTGGATATCTTCGGTGGCTTCTTGGTAAGTGGAGTAAAGGGGAGATATAAGGCAGTAGGAGGTACATATGAAATAACATCATCTCATCCGTGGCAGCGGCATTGTCGTATCTGTGTAAAGCATTTACATATTTTCCCACCTCGACAAATAATTGTTAGAAAACAATATTTATGCACTGGAAAAAATGTGTGAGGCACGAGTGGCTGAATCGGGAATTGAACTCGAGTCTTTCGCTTTCCAACTGCTCTTACCAATGAGCTATTCAGACCTCGTACCTTTTGCCACTTTTTAACGGTATATACGACTTCAGAGCGATGTTGGAATCTCGCTCAATGGATGCAATACCGATTGTCACGGAGAGACGATACCCTCAGTACATCTCCAGAGCAGTCCATGGATATATGGATAATGTGTACACATTCATTAGATATCCTTGCGAATATATAGGAAACAGCTATTAGACATGCTTTAAATATTCAAATGTCCGCAATACGAAATATCATAAATATCCACAGGATATGTAAGCCACTGGACATCTACATCAGTATACAGTGGATATTTATGTAAATATCCATTATATGTTGGTTAAATTTTGGTCACAAAATGACGAATTGTCCAAGACGTCCTAAGTTAGGTCTCATGAGACCCGAAAATGACGTCGATATGTCACATCCATGGGACATCATTTTCTGACGTTTGTTTGATAGTAAAACTAAGATCAATTACAGTAATAATATATAATAACACATATTAATGTAATATATATTATAGGTAAATTTAAATTATTTAGTTTATAAAATTAAAGATTTTATTTATATGGATGTTAATTTCTATTTTATATCTTAAGTAGATAATAACGAACGATTTTCACTTTTCGGACAGAAATTGCCCGAATAAATGAAACACTCATGACAAAAACTTGAATACGGATATAGATAGTGAATAGCCCGCCGCATAGCGGTAAGCGAATGGATATAATCCCAATACAAGTTACAAAAGGACTTTATTTGGACGACCATAGGACATCTCTAAAATAACGTTTCTGGCTGGTCTAAGAAATGACATCTTTTAAATGTCAATTATTAGTCGCCGACGTCATAAACCAAAAATATACGTCATTATGTCATCTATTGACGTCACTCTGCTATTTGGATATATGAATAACACGTAGATTTCTAATGAATATTTTTGGTAGCTTCTTGATAGACATGGATATGTGGATAACAATAAATATCTAATGAATATCTTTGGTAGCTACTCGATAGACATGGATAACACGTGTATATCTAGTGGATATCTTTGGTAACTACTTGATGGACATGAATATATGGATAACATGTGTATATCTAGTGGATATCTTCGGTGGCTTCTTGGTAAGTGGAGTAAAGGGGAGATATAAGGCAGTAGGAGGTACATATGAAATAACATCATCTCATCCGTGGCAGCGGCATTGTCGTATCTGTGTAAAGCATTTACATATTTTCCCACCTCGACAAATAATTGTTAGAAAACAATATTTATGCACTGGAAAAAATGTGTGAGGCACGAGTGGCTGAATCGGGAATTGAACTCGAGTCTTTCGCTTTCCAACTGCTCTTACCAATGAGCTATTCAGACCTCGTACCTTTTGCCACTTTTTAACGGTATATACGACTTCAGAGCGATGTTGGAATCTCGCTCAATGGATGCAATACCGATTGTCACGGAGAGACGATACCCTCAGTACATCTCCAGAGCAGTCCATGGATATATGGATAATGTGTACACATTCATTAGATATCCTCGCTAGTTATTCGAGAGATATAGATATTTTATTCATCTATTAGTTGTCTACTAGTTATCCATAGTAGACATAAACATCAGATAGATATGTAGATATTCACTAGATATCTATTCGATATTTTGTTCTATGTGGGATGTACCCACAAGCAAAAAAGAATTGTCATTACTGTTATATTCGGAAAAAAGGTCCAGATAACCAAGATTAATCATATTGAGCAAACTAATGCACTGCATGTGTGTTTATTTGTTTGTTTACATTTGCTAACATTGAAGTAGATTGCTATTAAATGTAGCAACATGAGTGCTTATACAACCAATCAATTGACAAAATTTCGAGAGTAAACGATCAGCGATACTGATATGTTATATTATCAGTAACATAATAACAACTGATGGTTTGTTGTTTCGTCTAGAGCATCATGACGGCAACAACAGAAACATAATGATTCCCATTCGTTATCGCGTATATACACACACATATTTCCTTAAAGCAGTGCTGGGATTTACTTGCACATTTCGGCCCGATTCCGTGGTTCACGCCTATTGCCCCCCACTCACCGCTCGTGCATTAGCAACGAGTTGCCAGATACGCGTAACTAAGGAGCGCGACGCTTCGTCTCAGGAGCGTCCGTATGTAAGAATGCCCAAATATAATAATAAGACAATATTTTTCTAATAAGACAATACTTTTCTAAATGCACCGCGAAATTCTCAAAATTAAAAGTTTTTCTTCAATATTTTATATTTCATTGATATAGCGCAAAGTCTGCCGCATTAGATACTGACGGCAGAAATGCGTCAGAAATCAAGCGTGGTCTGCCTTTCAACGTAAAAATGCTACAATGGCAAAAACGCGGCAAAAATAGAACATAATTTATCTTATGAACTGTTAAAGGCAGTAACGTAGCAGATATCGAGCATAGTCTGCTGTCACAATGTGGCGGTAAAAATACGATTAAGATAAAACACACCTGGTAAACACAATAATATTAATATAAATGCAGTAAAACTGAATATTACAAGCATTGTTACTGTTGAAAATAAAGTTAGCCACTATACGCTGATCACTATTTTTCCACCAGAGGACCAAACGGTCATCCAAGAGTCATCTCAGAGATATGTAACCTATGCCAAGGGAGATACGGAAGGAAGCCGGGTTAGTAGAGCGCGTAGCATCCGTTAAGCAAGGACGCAAATAAATAGTCATAAAAATACTCTGTGTCTTTTATTCAATCGAACCTGGAAAAACTCAACAGTTACAAATATAATTGCATAAATATTAGCGGTAAATCGTCAATACTATAATTTTCTTTCTAGATTGGACGATGAAATATTGCGAACGATGAAAGGACAATGCCCAAAATGGGCTACAAAGCTAGATAAAAATAATTTATGGCAATTGATAAAGCGTAATGAGTAGACTAGACATTTCAATAGATGCAAAAATGTCACCATCAAGAGATATAGATCATTTCCTAAAAAACTGTTTTACAGCTATATCTCTGCTAATATGCATCATAATTTTTCGTTTTCAGCTCATATGAAAGAACACAACACGATCTTATGATCATATTTATAAATCATTATATTTAGTTAGTTCAGAATTTTCAGCCCGAAGTTCTGACTTTGGATATGGAAAATCTGTTAAAATTGTTGCAGCGATTTTCGCGTATGACACCCCAGATAGCCAAGTTTGCCGATCACGTATTGCACAAATTATGCATTACATATTATATCGGTAGAACTTTGACAGCAGCCGCGCATGATTTGCCATTTCAATTAGTGCCGGCAGAAATGCAACAGAAAACAAGCAATCTCTGCATCATTATATGCTACAAAAAATGCTGCAAAATTGAATCAGAAGTTCTTGGCATAAAACAGTAGATTTAAAGCATTGTGTGTTGGCACAATATGTCAACAAAAGCTAAATAAAAACTGAACATAACATGACACGTCATGCTATATCGGCAGAATATCGTTAGAAATCGAGCATTCATCTGCAAGCACGGCGTAACGGCAGAAATGCTGCAAAAATTAAGCATGCACTGCCATTGCAAAAGATAACAGCAAAAACACAGCAGAAACACAGCATGATCTGTTGTCATAAAATAATGGCAGAATCACAGTAATCTTAAGATATTATATTAAATTATAGTTCTTTCGTTTACCGTTATATGACATATCTA